AAGTATGGGCATAACTCCGGATGGAGAGACAGTGGCATCTGTTGCAACTTTACACGGAAAATCGGCTGTTGCTTAGCAGTCCGGTTTCTATGTACACTGGGCGCTGATTTGCCAACTGGCGTCTCCTTATACCTGGACAGCGATGGACCCAAAAAGATCACATTGCAATAAGTTACAGGTAGCGAGGTTCCATCTTGGACTGCCGCTCGTTCTGAAATATGTGCGCCAACTCTAATCATATTTTGCTACGCTGTTGTTTTTCCACGAAGGTGCAACAAGCGTACTTCTTGATTGATAAATGAGAGATAGTCCCGATCGTCGTTAGGCAAGATTACCAGAATGCCACGCGTACCGAACTCTTCCCCGTTGCTCTAAAAACGACAGGATCTACCGCTCGCGGCAACACCAGTGGTCAAAGCACTAGCAACTGAACATCTGAGAAGTCGATGAGCTTGTTGAAATCGTAAAGAAAGCCCCCTGTTGGCTCTGGGCATAATGTAAGTAGACGAACAAGTAGGCGCGAACAAAAGCGGTGTCTGCGTGCTGGCTAGGAATTCTGGCTCAAGAAATGGAGGATGTGATAGCAGTAAGCAATTATCGCATAATGTTCCAACTGATCCCCACCAATAGTCCTAGGATACTGAGCGTATCTGACACAACCAGAGGGAACACGGGAGTCTTAAGTAACAATAAGGAGTACCGTCTAGGTTGCTGCGTAGTACTTTCGAGAATAGTCCAGTAAACCTCCTCCTCATGCCCATGTGATGCAGGCTGAGCCACAGCCGATTAGTTTAGAGCTTATACCGGAGGCTGACGTCTGAAACGAGATCACAGCCCTCCATCCTATTCTACCTGCAGGTCCAGATTCCCTTGAACCCGCACTTTATATGGATGGTGATAAGGTCTTCTGCCCGAACAAGACCGGAAGGAAGAAACCATCCCAGCTAACTGAAGTGAATCGATTATAGTGGCAATATGCAAGGACAATCGCATTGACTGTGATAAGCAGAAGGGTAATAGCCTATCGCCGGTGGTTAAAGAATTACTGGCCTCAATTCGCGTTCGTCACCCCACTGTGGAATGGGAATCCCGGATTAGGGAAGAGTAAGCAGGTTTCCACCCAGGACGGGGCTGTATAAACCATATATTCCATCTGAGGTGTGCTACAGCAGTATCGCAGATTGATCATAATTGTGTTCAAGGGACTTCAAGTATGCGTCCGGCTCAGTCGAATACCTCTCCACTAGCCGAGTATACCGTACAGGATGTTCATACCACGTAGTTGGTCTTAGTCTCGCACTGTCAAGAAATACACTAATTATTCATTTGGACTACTTGTGTGGAAAAATATAAGTATTGTACTTGCCCTGTACTCGAACACCACAGACTGTGTCAGAAACTATAGTGGCTGATTGGATATCATTCCGACAACAAGCGACGCACGCTAGAGTTGGCTCTTTTCTCCATTTTCGTTCAACTAAGTAGTGGATTTCATCTTGGAATGTTATCTCTCTGAACCTCATGATGCACGCATTAATGTGTTGCAAAGTGGAAGACTAGTTAATATTGATCAGGCGAAAGCTATTGTCTTGATGTTAACGATATTGGGGTGGGCCGGTGGACCCTGTGTAAGCCCCGTGAAGTGGTCCACCAATTGTCACGCGTTTCGCATCTCCAAAATACCGTCAAAAGATTAACAGCCACTTGGTGGTCGACCTATTAAAAAATTCAACTAACTTCACGGTTGCTGCAGCAGCGATGGGCGCGTGATGGTTGAAGTTAGTTCACGTATCCCGAAAGCTAGGGCCGGTTTCTCAAACCGGCGACATCTGTGACATCAGAAGGAGTTTTTGCCGGTCTGAAAACCGTGTGTACAAGACCACAGTGAGGGTCACTATACTCTATGGAAGTGACACTTAAGGTTTTCGTTCCGAGGGCTTGAAGCGTATCCTAGTCGTTGAACATCGCTGTCTGCGGAGCACTTCCGCTGCCGGATGACACCAGCGTGTCAGGAATGATGATGTGCGCGGAGATACTGAAACTAGTTAATTAGATCAACAAATAATTTTAAACGATCTGCGTTGGCTTGGGCACGTGCTATGTACGCTTGGTCACTGCTTGCATATAAGTGCTTTGTTTTGTTTAAAGGAAGGTGAATGGGACAAAATTCGAGGAGATCAAGTCAACTTGACTGACGACTAAACTGTTGGTCAGTCCAGCCCTCCAAATTCATGTGACCCACTTTGTGCTTGTCTCGGTATTTTACAGGAAATATCTCACAGGCGGCATCGGTGGCGCATCTGGTTTCTCCTAGTCGGACAGCCTGTTTATAATGCGTATTATGCTGTTACGTTCCGCATAAAAGAGGTAGATATAACAGTTATCTGCGAGGTAATGACTTATTATGGTGCGTTGTAATGAGAGCAGCAAGGAAGCTGCCTAGCTAATAACGCCTTGTCTTAGTACGACAGCTAGCTGCTTGTAACCGTGTGGTTGGCTGGCTGTAGCCGCCTTAACCTTGAATGTTTGCGTTTATGTTTTGTGCCAGAGCTCGCTTCTCTTCAGCTTATGACTCTTCATTCCTTAGGAAATTGTAGTTGTACGGCAGCGAAGTATCAGTTCAAATGGTTGATGTACTGCTGTTCATTATGATTAGGACGACTTCAGTAACGATGGTAGAAAATCACCAAAATCAAGCGCCTTGTTTCGTTTCAGCTCATGTCGAATCTGGCCGAGTTTGGAAATGTTAAGCTAGCTTCTTACTTGGACTCAAACGATCAAACTAACGATTCAATGCATTAGGTCGGTTAAACTGCTCTTCAAGGTGTTCGACCAGCTTTCTGAGCGACGAAATCGAGTCAGTTGCAATCGTCATGAGTGATCGGTTCACACATTGGGGCAGTCCATGGGGCTATGCATCCATTGAGTTGGAACAAGTATGTTGATCTTGATGGGGTTGGCCAGACCCCGTATAAAAGGCATTCGCAATCTACCAACGCACTCTGTGAATCTCAATTCCTAGACAGACAACGCCTAATAGTGCTATGCGCTCCGAAAACAGATAACCAGATGGAAATGTGCCGTGCTTCATTTAAACCAATCATCCACTATTCAGACGCTTAAAGTTGAAAAATGAACGAACGCAAGTGCTATATGCAGTGTGTACTACAGGCAATTTCACTCCATCTTCGATTAGCCCACCGTTCGACATTGAAAACTGGCATTAAAGTGTAGTCTGAAATTTCTGCTTCGCCGACCGCAAAAGGAAGCGACCAGCGAGCATGTTCCGATTTGAGCGCTTCACCGAGACAAGTGAGCGGTTGGCGAGTACGCGCTAGGGTATAGTTAGACTCGGGTTAAGTGTTTCACATCAAACGACAAGTTTGAACAGGCGTGAGCCATCCAGAGCTGGTCAGTCTGAATCCAAAATAGTATAGCGCTTTGTGGCCGCCATGTGACTGGATATAAACTTTGTGCTTAAAAACTGTGCTGCTGGTGTAGCGTTGAAAAAAGCCGCCATCGTCGTTACAAGTATCAGCCCCGAAAGGGCATCTACCGACTCACCGGCTCTGAACAACGATCAAAATGGAGCACTCATGACACCGACAACGATCACGATATTCGCAAGTATAACAAAATAGGAAGGACTGTTGATAAATTGATTTTTGACAGCCTTCATGCAACAGGTAGTGAAATTGTAGGCGAAGACGACATAAAGGTACCTTGCGTTCAACAGATGCCTGTTGGATGCGATGTGGTCTTGAAGCCGAAGGTTACATAATCGGCAGTTCAATCAGTCAAGAGAACAGCATCCGGGCGCCTGAGTGCGAATGCAACATCATAAATACCGCTCCTAACGCCTAAATTTTGAAGGAATGGTATCAATGGTCACTCACTGGCACCTGAAAAGGATGCAAAAACCGAGATGATATTATTCCTACTAATAAAGCTAAAGACATTGGCAGTACGCCGGTACGCAGTATCGACGCTTCGCTGCCACGCAACCACCCCCAGCCGCACGTGAACTAAGAATAGTATGCAGGTCACCCAGTCCCCTACGCAGACTCGAACCCCACCCACAGATTACAAGGATTGTGATCCTTAAGGCTACGGGCCGACCAGTCATACTAAGTGACCCGCCTGAAGGCACATGGAAGGCACAGACCAGCGTAGCTCAGTGGGTCATGAAGCTAAGCAATCCCCTATACCATGTAAACGTCCAGTCTCGACACGATGAATGGCAAGCTTTCATTAGGAAACGGCCTAGCTGAAAGTGGGTGGGTATTTATACAGGACCCAAGTGAACATCAGCGTCATCAGTTAGTGGCGATACATATGATACATATGTACATATGGTCATACGTATGAGAAAGGATGATTACTGATAAAATTCGATGGATTTGTTTGAAGGCAACGACTCACATAAATACTAGTTACTGCTAAGTGCAGATGTAGCTTGGACCAAGAAATAACTGCAATCAAGTTACACAAATAGGTATTTCAAGACTATCAATATAAGGTCTGCTTTAACCATCGTTTTGCAAAAACTGCTTACAGTAAGCGGGACAATCGAATGGGCAATGCTGATAGCGGGGATTAATGCACGGTAGGAGACGCGGCAACGCGCTAGGTCGTCTCACATTCAATGAGCTGCGTGGAGTGTATGTGCTCGATTGGGTGAGGAAATGAAACTACTCAACGAGAAAAAAGGAAAAGAAAATTGAATGTAAAAGCAAGTCGGATCAGTGCGTTGCATTTGTCGTATGGTCTAAGTATGAAGTACGCCAATGATGTTACCACAATGGACGTGCTGATTACATATCTGTAACCTAGTAAGCCAACTTTGCTCAATTGTTACTGATCTGGAAATGTTTAAGTCTAACAAACCAGATCAGCAGAACTTTGGTGAAGGGACTAAGGCTGATAAACTGATATAGAGCTGAAATATCGGAGAACAAACCATAAAATATACATGAATACAGGACAAATTTAAAACATACTTCAAGGAATCCAAGATTGTCGAGGAACGAGCGGATATAGTTTATGATACGGGCGCGAGTGACGAAGCGCTTTCTGACATCATCATTCATCATTAGATCAAGGTAACGTTGACGGTAGCGAGTTTCCTTGTCCTTGACGCCGTAGTGCAAATGAGGTAGCTGGTAGAGACATGGAGCTAGTAATATTAATTGTTTGGGAAGGATGCTGAGTTCGCCGAACTTTGACTTTCCTGAAAGAGTCCTAGCTGATGAATAAGAGATTACCTGGTTTACCGATGCATCCGACAACATCGCCCAAATGAAGCATATCATTTATGCGCCGAAACTCTTCCACACAGTGATAATCCTTGACATTAGCCAAAATTTGAAGCTGGTTTTCGTCTGATATAATGTCATAGAATACTAGCTTTGAGCCAGATTCGCGCTTGGCATGTATACGACCTGTGAAAAACCGATCAGTATCGGAAATCGATTACCAGCAACACTGACCGTGACGTCATCTAAGTGCTGCCCAGGTTCAAGATAAGAGTACAATTTAATGAATGAACCAATAGAAAGGGAAACATGGAATTTGTGAGGGTAAGCTGAACCGCTATCCTTCCCGAAGTCGTGCACCATGCCCTTGCGCATCTCATGGTAATTCTGTGCAACATATAAGAAAAATGCGCAATAATAACCAAGGAGTTATGTGTATCAGTAGTCTTTTTTTCGGATCCCTGAAGTCGGACTTCCTCGGTCGTTTTTCTCTTTGCAATCGAAGACATGAATCGAAAACACAGAGGTAAAATAGCAGGGAGAGTATAACATGCACGGATTAGGGTAGCAGACGAGGTTGTAACGAGGAGCTGGAATGGGAAAACACGAAAGCTCAACAAAACTCGTACGACGAGCGTTCAATATCATTGGGTTGGTGTTGAACGTTGAAAATGAAAAAGCCATGCAGCGATGGAGATATCGTAGCAAGTCAACTAATTTCTAGAACAATCAAATATCAGTTTAGTGAGAGGTGAAGGCAAATAGGCAGGTCAACTGCGCATTTTCTAGACTCAGCTCGGTCAAAGATCCTGGTTTTAAGTGTGTGAAACAATGAAAATAGGATTATAATAAACGCTGGATCGCCACCGTCACGGTATACCAGTAAAACTATTTACCATAGCCTCTAAGGATCGCAGGCAAGAGTAGGCTAGACATCATGAAATGAGCATTATTCTCACTACAGGCTGCAGCCACTGGAATTGACGGATTCATTGTATTCATTGAGTGGTATATAGCAAAAGGGAGGTCCCGTGTCAGCTTCTTCACTTCCCGATCTTCCAAGGGTTGCAGGCGTAGTAGCTGTGTCAGCTCAGGATGTAGTATCAGTCCTGCAGGATCCTGGAGTACTTAGTAGGAATATGTCTAGCAAACGTTTGGAACTCGCTTCTGACTGCGCATTGACAATCGGGTTCGGCAGTCGGTTCCAGTCATTAATTACTCGAGTAGAGAGAGTAACATCTGAGCGGACTTCGAACCTCCTCAGTTTAAACAGCCTCCAGCTGTGACCTCGAGTCGAACTGCCAAGTCTTAGCCGAAAAAACTGCCTTAGCTCTTTTCCCAGTTCTTCTCGTAGGATACGCCTAGTATAGATGAGGTCTCCGGGACGTCAGCGATAGTCTAAGGGAAAAAGGTTCATCCTCTGTAGTCCGGCGGGGTACGGGAGTTCGCGTAGCCCAAGGACAAATTTCGAGACACGTCGCTAAATTTTTTTATCTTGTTACTTTCATGCTTCGATAGAGGGGCTATGGTCGGAAGTCCGAATTCAAGGATGGGACGGATGTGGGAGGTGAAGAGAAGTCTAAATATCTGCGGCGTCATCTTAGAGAATGATCTCCTTATGACGCCCCACATCCTGTTCGCCGCAGCAGTTCTCTTTGATGTGTCAAGGGTAGTCTTGAGATCAGATGATACTATCGTCCCCAGGTCCTTTTCCTGTGTGGCAATCTTGAGTAGGTGCCCGCCAATGTGATAGATGACCAATGGTTTAGCAGCACCTATAGAAAGGACAGATCACTTATCTTTGTTGACCGGCAAACCCCACTTGATAGATCAGGTGAGCAGTAGATCAAACGTTTCCCGTAATCGGTTGGCGTCTTCGAGACTGGACATTTTTGACCATAGCTTGAGGTCGTCTGCATAGATCAGACAGTCCGTTTGTAGCATACTTGGTAGGTCATTGATATATCTCTTGAACAATTCCGATCCGAGAACGGAGCCATGCGGTACGCCACTGCAAATAGGCACTGAAAATGAAAGGGTATTGTTTACTTTGACTTGCAAGTTCCGGCATTGCAATAAGTCACTGATCCATAGTAGGAAGTTCCGTATTATGCCAATTCCGCAGAGCTTAGATAGTAATTCCTGAGGAGGGACTCTGTCAAAAGCTTTGCCGAAGTCGACGAAGACCACATCCAAACGTTTTCCAGCGTTCATTGATTTACCCCAATTCTCCCTAGCGACCAGCAGGTTAGTGATGCAGGAATGTCCCTTTCGGAAGCCATGCTGAGTAGATGGAGTGAAGTTCAGATCTTCGCAGTGCCGGTGGATGGCACATTTAATGAGCTTTTCCATGATCTTACAGGCGACCGACGTCAAGCAAATTGGCCGATAGTTCGCAGGGTCCTGGCGGTTTCCACCCTTGTATTTCGGCATAACTACACCGGTCTTCCAATCGACAGGTAGTCGAGCAGCTTTAAAAGAGAGCTGAAAATGTTGACAAAGTGGGACGGCAATGAATTCCGCTACCACCTTGAGAAAATGGGGGTGTAGCCCATCTGGGTCTGGTGAGGAAAATGAGTTCAGTTATAGTAGTAGCTTCAAGGTAGCACCTGCATCGATATCGATATGTCCTAGAGGTACTGTATGTGCAAGTACATGAGGGTTTCGAGTTTGTCTCGCTTCGTATACTGTGGAGAACTGTAGAGCCAAGAGGTCAACTTTGGCGTCATCATCATAGTGTGTTATACCTGGCTCACTAGTAGACAATGCAGAAATTCCACAACCCGCCTTGGAAGATCTGTTAAGGTATGAAAATAGTTTCCTTGGCCTAGAAAGGGATTGTTCGTTCAGGCTATGTTCGTATCGTTGTCTCTTTTCATGTGTCTGCAGGGAGCAGAAGTTCCTGATGGCCTTGCATTTAGAGTAGTCTGAGAGTAAGCGGGAAAGTGAATCTGTCCCATAGTTTTCGCCGTTGTTTCATGTTGGCCCTGAGTTCTCGGTCTATCCAGGGGGCGAACCTTAGACAGAGGCTTGGCACTGTGGAATGGAACGACAACCTCAACGAGTAGCTTCAACTTGTAGAACAGATCGTTCCAAGCAGCATCGAGTTCCAAATGTTGTGGAACATCACAGTCTAGCGTATTTGCTGCCGCCCTTAGCTTGAATGCGTCGGTTCGCCAGAAGTTTCGAATGTGTGCGTTCCGGGCTCGGATAGCTGGACGTTTGGTCCATAAGATTCTAAAATGGTCGCTTTTACCTATGGACTGTAGAAGGGTCAATTCTAAGACACCTGAAAGAGCCGGAGTGAGCACAAGATCAAAAGTGTGCGGAGTCTGGCCGGAAAGAAACATCAAGTTCAAGTTCAAGTGGGACTGCAACGATAGGATTATTCCGTGAGCGGTCGTTCTTCAGCGGGTCTCTGAACCAGGAGTTGGCGGACTTTGAAATACTGATGAACCTAAAACAAAGACCGCATCACACCCTGTCCAACCAATTAATGCCCGCATATCCTGCCTTAGCAGTCCCTACTGGGCCGGTTACGTGAAGTAGGAAAGAGGAAAAAGTAAACTCAGAAGGCAAAAGAGAAAGTGGAAAGAGCTAAGCACGCAAAATACCAAGATATTTGAGTCATTAAAAAAGAACTGAAAAGTGAGGGTGAGTCAGCTAGGAAAAATGAAAGGTTAGCTGTTACCACCCAAGAGCATCGAGCTGGCACGCAAAACCCTTAACCGAAGGTTCCCTAACCACCTGATCTGGAAGTGAATTCCAGCGATCTATAACTCGGCGCGATAGACGAGTTTCCGTCCTAATCCTATCAGACCGTGGTTTATGCAGTTTCAGTGAGTGACCGCGGAGATTAGGTAACGTAGCGGGACTAAATAGCCCTGACAAGTCCGGGCCAATCTTACCCGTCAAAATACGATAAGTGAGAATTAGGTCCCCTCTTATCCTTCGGTAGTGCATTGAGTACATCCCCAAACTGAGCAAGCGTTCAGGATACGTCTGTCCCAGTAGACCCTGCAATAACCGAGTGCCCACTCGTAACACCCTCTCCAGGTCCATTTTGTCTCGGTTAAGACATGGTGGACAAGCCTGAATACAATATTCCAGGTGGGGTCGGACGAATGCCGAAAATAGCTTCACAAACAAATTGGCCGTTAAAATTCCGAAAGAGCGGCAGATAAACCACATTATACGACAAGCAGCCTTCTTCCATTTGTCGCCAGAATAAAGTGCTGATGAGTATACGACCCCTAAATCAACCTCTGAGTGACAAAAGGGAGTTCACCACCGCCGAGAACATATCGGGTGGGAGGATTTGCAGCTCCGGTTGGGAGAACAGAGCACTTGGCCCTATTTATAGACATCAACCATAAGGTAGACCATTCCCAGAGCCTATCCAAGGTACGCTGAATTGCCTCAAATCCCACCGGGATATCCACAATATTCCAGGGCTTAAAGTCGTCAGCAAACATTAGTGATGATGCCCCTAGCTCTCCCGGCAAGTCATTTACATAGATCGCGAACAACAGTGGCCCCAATACCGAGCCCTGCGAGACGCCACTAAGGACAGTACGCCTGAGCTAAAGGCTACGCCCCACCCATACGCACTGTTCCCTCCTATCAAGGAAGGCAGACACCCATTGAAGGGCGCGACCAGATATCCGGTAAGATCTCAACTTCAGTGAGAATCGAAGATGTGGAACAGTGTCAAAAGCTTTCGAAAAGTCCACGAATAGCACGTCTACAGCGTGGCCACTGTCTACCGCCTCGACCCAGCTTTCACGAGCTACAAGATTAGTCTGACATGAAAATCCCTTGCGGAATAAACGTTGCGCAAGACTGATAAGGTTGAATCTATTCAGGTGGTTCTCCACTGAATCCCCTATCAGCTTTACGAACAACTTGACTACTATGCTTATCAAACAGACAGGCCGGTAGTTCGCGGACAAACCGCTGTCACCGCCCTTAAAAATCGGACAGATGATTGCCCCCTTCCATTCCGAAGGTAGTATGCAGCTGTCCAGCGATATTGAAAACACGCATGTGAGAGGACCACTCAGCTCAGTGACCAATTCATGCGACAGCTTCGGATGAACTGAATCAGCACCGGAAGCTTTAGAGGGATTAATGCCTTGCAGTAGCTGGAAGACCTGAGTCTCCGTTAGGTTAAACTCAGCGAAGCGAGAATTCACTGGAACTCTTGAAACCAATTCAACCTGTGGTAGAGGTCTCCCGAGCAGACTCCAGTATACTGATCACTAAGTACACAAGCCTTGTCATAGTCAGTTTGCGCATGGGTCCCGTCTGTTCGCAATAACGCTGGTATAGACAGTTTTGCCCCCCTGCGTCTTTTAACGTAAGCAAAAACTTCTTGGGATTAGCCGCGGCCGAGTCCGCTAAACCCTGCTCGTACTGGAGACGGACAGTTCTGAGATGTTGCTTACATTTATTTCTAATCTCTCGATAACTATCATAGGTACTGGCTGATGGAGCTGCTTGGTAGGTTCGCCAGCACCTAGACCGTTTCTTGAGTAGGTACTTGTCTGTGGTAACTATCCATGGAGGCTGTGCTCTTAATCAACTTTTCCTC